TGGTCCACTGTATATTCAACACTTTTCTCCAGCACCACAGCTCAAAAGGCATCAATTCTCTTTCTATCATCCCTAGTCATTGTCCAGATTTCTGACGCTTAACAGATAATTGAGAAGACTATGGCCCGGATCAGGCGCACCGTAGCAGTGTTAAAACACTAGACTCTGCCACTGAAGCATAGTCTGTATCAAGGACCGCTTTAAAGTGCTAAAGAGCAAGGTTATAGCTTTAAACACTAAGGTGTGCCTTACCCAAGCCATGGTCTTTTGAATGGTTTCATATGTATGTGATAGCTGGACAATGAATAGGGAAGCTAAAAGGAAAATTATTGCCTTTGAATTGTGGTGTTGGTGAAAAGTATTTAATATTTCATAGGCTCAAAAACAACAAGTAAGTCTGTCTTGGAGGGATTATAGCCAGGGTGCTCTTTAGTTATGGATGGTGAAATTTTGTATCATGTACTTTGGGCATGTTGTGAGAAGGGGGTGGTCCTTGGGAAAGGTACCATGGTGGGAAAGGGTCAGTGATAGGTAAATTCAACAATGTCAACAATGTTACAGGAGGCAAGATCAGCTCACAAAAAAGTCAATTAAAAAAAAAATCAATGCCAATATCCTAGCAATGTGTGAATACTGAAATTTCTACAGAAATTTACCCAAATATTAGTTACATTTACAGTCACTAGGTGAGAAGAATAAGGAAAAAGAGGAGGAGGAGGAGGAGAAGGACAAGGACAAGAAGAAACATTTAGTTGTAACACTATAAAATATGTAAGGGAGCTCTGGTGGCCTAGTGGCAAGAAGCTGCACTGCAATCCCAGAGGTGCATGGATTGAACCCACCAGATGCTCTGCTGGAAAAGGAGGGGCAACCTCCTCCCGTACCAGTCAGATCCAGTTTGACGGTACACACACAAAATAATAAAATTAAATATATAAAAAAATATGTAAAAAGACTTGTGTGCTTAAAACTAAAAAATGCTGACAAAGTTTTTTGTTTGGCTTGAGGTTTGTCTTTTCAGGTTACATGGGTGGTGATATATATTCCTTGTTTGAAGGTTGAAAGATACAGTATACTGAAGATGTTGGTTCTCTCAAACTGATACACAAGTTTAATGAAGTTCTGATTTCAATCCCAGGGGAAATTTTGTGAATGTAGACAAAAGTACTAAAAAATTTACATGATGAGGTAAAGGAATGATGAGAGTTAAAACAATTTTGAAAAAGAATAATAAAGTGGGATGAATCACATTCTACCTGATTTTAAGTGTTAGTTACAAAGATATCTGATGTTGGCAGAGGGATCAATACGTAAGTAGCGAACCCAGAAAGAGACTAATACAAATACATTCAATTAATTTTCTTACAAAGAAGCAAAAACAATTTCTTGGAGATTGTTATTGAATGCCATCAAGTCAGAACCAACCCATAGCTGACCCTCCAGTGAGTTTCAGAGGTAGGAAATGGCATGAGAGGAGAGTGTCCCCCAGAGCTAGAGGATTTGAACCATGTGCCTTTGAATTGGCAGTGCAACTCGATACCACTAAGCCACCAGAGCTCCCTCTATTGGAAATAGGACAGCCTTTACAGCACAAGGTGCGAGAGCAATTGGACATTTGGGGAACAGGGGCAGTGGGGACGAGAGACTCAGCATGAGATGAGAGGGTAGCAGCACCCATGGGCTAAGCCACCAGCGCTCCCTGCTCCTACCACTGTGACCTTTAAGCCTCTGCATGATTCTTGATGCACTTGTGAACTAATGAGTGCTGCTCCTCTCCAGCCCTGCCCAAGAGAGACTAATTCCCTTGTTGTTGTTATTGTGGACCATAGAGTCAGAACCGACCCATACCTGATCCTCCAGTGGGTTTTCAGAAGCAGTTAATTGCACAGGAGGAGATTGCCCATCCTTCTCCCACAGAGCAGCTGGTGGCCTTGAACCACATGCCTTTTAGATTGCAGTGCAGCTTCTTACCAATAGTCTACCATAGTTCCCTTAGAACTTTAGAAATTTCAAAACTGAGAGGTGGTTGGATGAGGGCTTCCCTCCAATTTCCCCAGGTCATCCTTCGTCCTCATTTCTAAAGGAGAGCTGTGTCGTTTCTTTATGCTCCTGCGTTCCATGTATAGATTAGGAGAACTCCTGCACCTGCAGAGTTCATTCATTCATTCAAGAAACATGGCAAACACCTGCTCTGTGGGCTCCAGAGACACATTTCTGGCCTTGAAGAGTTTATAGTTTAGAAGGAGAAGCAGGTACATCCATATTGACCATGTGGAGTAATCAGGAGTGTGGCAAGGGGCTATTGAAGCCCAGAATAGGCACTGACAATCATGGCAGGCTTCCTGGATAAGGCATGCCTTGTCTGGGTCCTAAGTGAGGCAGGGGAGAAGGGAATGAGTGGAATGTAGGCATTCTACAGAGAGGGCAAAAAACACTGAAGATTCAGAGAAGTGAGAGTCCTGGAAGTGGGCGTCCTGGAAATGTGCAGGAGGTTGAGATCTCAGACTGAAAGTGGGGTGCTGGAGGGGAGCAAAGATGGGAGACTTCAGGGCAAGATGATCTTGCCACCTGGAGTGGAGAAGAACATGCTGGTACTCTATGTTTGCTGGGCTGCCTGAGGGAGGCAACTCTGGTCCCAAGACTTTGGTCTCCTCGACTGTAAAACAGAGATGTGGATGGGATGACACTGATGTCTCAGCAGATCCTCCAGGGTTCTATCTACCCAGGTAGTGGAGCCTCTTGGAAGGAACAGCATGTGTTTCCCTCCCGCATATGCCTCCACATCCTCTCATGTTTCTTCAGGACCCACCAAGGTTGAGGAGAAAAGGCTCCAGGAAGAGATACCAGCATCCATTGACCTTCCTTTTCTGTTTGATCAAGTCACACACTTCAGAAAAAGGCAGGAGCAGCAATAGAGAGAACCAAGCCTAAGTTCCTGCGAGCCTCCTTGGCTCCCTCCCTCCTTATAAGACTGTGCCCCATGTGGTGAGTAAGAGGATGGGCTCTGAACGCAGACAGACTGCTGACATGCTGTGTGGCCTTATGTAGGTTACTCAGCCTCTCTGAGCTTCCAACTTCCCCCCTCTAAAGCAGAGCTATAAGATCTGACTTCATTGTCTGGTGATTATGTAAAAAAGTATTTAGGACATCAGTAAACACATGGGCTTAAAAAATGACAATTATTATATTATTATTATTATTATTAATTTATTTCTTTCTTTTTAGTGTGTAAGCCAAGAGGGACAAGAGTTGGGTAAGAGGAAGAATTTGACTCTGAAAGAGTTAAAATTAAACTAGCTGCTTCTAGTCCTGGTGATAAGGTTGGAAGAAATGAACTCTGGGTCTCCAGCTCTATCACAGGTGAGTTCGTTACTTTGGATCAAAGTTTAGGGGTTCCCTCTAATAGTCCTCATCAGTGGCCAGAAGGGGTTCAGGGATCTCTTGAAAGACTGAGGCCTGGCAAAGAGGGAGAGTAAGGCATGGAGCGGCCAGCACCATATACACCTCATTGTGTGCAGTGCAGGCACGAGGGTGGAGGCAGAGAGAGAGAGAGAAAGGGGAGATAGCAGGTTCAGTCAGGTGGAGAAAGAGATGGAGTCTTAGAGCAAGAAAACCATGGATGCGCTGCAGTTTCTCAGTCCATTTGTGGATGGGCAGGTGGCTGTTTGCGTTTTCTTGTTACAGTGATGTTGCTGTGCACATAGTTGTACATACCTCTGTTCAGGTCTCAGTTCTGTTTTCCTTGGTGTCTATTCCTAGCAATGGAATAGTTGGGTCGTGTGGGATTTCTATGTCCGGCTTTCTGAGAAAAGTGCCAAGCTGCCTTCCAGAGTGGTTGTATCATTTAACATTCACACAATGGAATACTACACAGCACTGAGGACCGATGAATTCACAAACAAACAACAAACCCCAAACTATGTAACAGGAGAGAGTCTAGAGAGCATTATGATAAGTGAAATAACTCAGTCTCATGAAGAAAAATACAGAATAAAACCATTATTATAAAAATAGACGGATAATAGAGCAAGATGTTTCAACATGGGAACAAGAAAGGGCAAGGGAGAAGGGGGCGGAAAAAGGAGAAGGAGGAAATCGCCAAGAGAGCAGAGGTCAGTGGGCTGGTGGGATGGGGCGAAGGAATAGGTAAGATTCAAAGGGGAGATGAAAAGGGGATGGCAGTAGACAGAAAAGAGGAAGAGCCAGAATGAGGTGGATTGACACAGTAACAGGCTAGGTGAGTAAGAGATTAGTTCAGGGTAGGGCAGGGTTCAGGGCTATTGTGCAGCATCGCTAGGAGTCGCAGTCAACTCAATGGCACACAACAACAATTATGTATATGATGATTGTATAAATACTGAACATGAATGTGGGGGAAGCAGGACAAAAAAGAAGATGGGCAGACAGACGGGGTGGGAGAAGAGGGAGCAGAGTAGGAGCAAGACAGACATACATAGAAAGGGGAGTAAAGCCAGTGGTACAGGAGCTGGTGCAGGACAAAGTGGGGAGAGGCCAGTGGGGGAGGCTGAGGGAGATGATGGGGGGGTCCTGTCGGAGGAGACGGTGGGGGGGCCTGCGCGTGTGTATCTGCGTGCGTGTGTGCGCGCGTCTGTACCTGTGTCTCTTTGGCAAGCTGGAGTGTGTGAGTAAGATCGTGCGTAAAAGCGCACAAACGGCGGGAAGCTCCGCAGGCTCCCGCCCCAGCGACCCCCGACCGCGCCCGACGCAGACCTCGAGGGGGTTAAACGCACCGCCCCCGAGCCGGCTCCTCCCCGCCAGGGCAGTGCCGGCCTCCACCGACGCCCTCACTCGACCTAGCGGTGGGCCCCTGGGTAGACTGTGGGTCCTTGGCGGCCGCACCGACGCCGCGCCCCGCGGATGCGCCCCGCGCGCCCCAAGCAGCCCCTGCGCCGCGCCGCCACCGGGTCTCCCAGGGAGCCCCCGCGGGCGCTGCCTGGGTGCCAGGAGCCCCGCGCACCCGCCGGGACCACGCTGTCCAGATGCGGGCGCCACTCTGCCTGCTGCTGCTGGTCGCCCATACCGTGGACATGCTGGCCCTGAATCGAAGGAAAAAGCAAGGTAGGAAGGGCGCCCGGGGCAGCCAGAGCTGCTGGCTGCGGATGGCCAGAGTCCTGCGCCCTGGTGCACTGATTCCTACAACCGTTCAGTTCCACTTTTCAGATGGGGAGACTGAGGCCTCTGGGCACTAGGAAGAGCTGTGTTAAGGAAGCTGGGTCAGAGAGGCTCTCCAAGAGCGAAGACACTGGTAGCGGACACTCATTGTCCCCTCCCTCACCTAGTAGTATTACTGCAAGGGGAGTTGATGACAATGTAAAGAGAAGATTCAAGTGCCAGCGGGGAGGACACGGGGACTAGGGGGCAGCATTAGTGGTTCAGAAGCCATTCCAAGCATCTCTGCTGAGCCAGGATGGGATATAAAGAACTCTGGGCTGGGAAGCCAAATGGCCAAGTGCAGCCCCATCACTGAGCCTGACCCATGGTGGCATCTCTTGAGAAGGTGGTGATCCGGGGTGGGCCTCTCTTCCGGTAAGAGGAGACCTGTGCCCACCTCCGCTGACAGTGAAGATGTCCAATCCCCAGACACGCCCAGTGTTCCTATCTTGATGCCTAGGGACTCTGGACAGATGATCAGGGCCCAGTCAATAAAAGGAGCAGGAGTCTCTCGCTTGCGGATCCTCCATAGCCCCTTCTCCGTGAGAGGCAGGCGCTGGGGAAGTGGGTTAGAGGCATTCCCTGCAGCAAGGGTTGACTGTGGAAGGCGAGTGGACAGCCAGCCTCCTGTCTGTGCTGGGCAGTTCCTATCTTTCTAATGTCCCGTCTCCAAACAGCCATCACGTGTGTCCCTGAGTCTGGGGCTTTCTAGCACTATCCCACTGAATCCTCTCTGTACCCTCACAACACGGAGTCTCCTCGTTTTATAAAACAAAGATGTCAGAGAGGTTAGGTAACCACTCTGTCTCTCCAGCGCTGCTACTGGTGTTGGGCATGAGTAAGGCGGGGGGTGTGTGTGTGTGTGTGTGTGTGTGTGTGTGTGTGTGTGTGTGTGTAAGAGAGAGAGCGAGTGAGTGAGAGGGAGAGGTGGGAAGAAAGGGAGCAAGGGAGCAAGCAAGGGAGGTAGACTGGCCACCCTTCCAGAATTTGAATGAACAGCCCACGTAGACAAAACTCTCCTGGGACTGAAGTCAGAGGCAGAGAGAAGCCTGTGGAAGACCCGTGGGGTGGAACTGGGTAGAAAGCTGCAGTCTGTGGCTCAAGGGGTCTAACCTCTATTGTGACCTGATAGGGACCTGGAGGAGAGGCTGTGAGTATCAGGTGAGTTTGAAGGGCACTGGGGATTCCACGGGACAGTCCTGTGAATGCTTGGTTAAGAGCATGAACTCTGGATCCAGCTGCTTGGGTTCACATCTTACCTTCCCTGAGGGTCCACAGGGAAGGCATTCTGTCTCTCCAAGGATCAGTTTGTCCCACTGTAGGTCATTGAGATCCCCAAGCCTAAAAAAGAAGGGGAAAGCAATTTCAATTTCTTCTCATTGACTCATTGTTAAAATAGGAATAATAATCCTAAATGCCAGATTCATGAGGGAGGTTGTAGATAGGGGGTTGTGTGCATGTGCGTGTGTGTGTGTGTGTGAGAGAGAGAGACAGAGACAGAGAGAGTGACAGAGACAGACACAGACAGACAGACAGAGAGATGTGATGCCTGGCCGAGCTGCAGGCTCCTAGTGAGTTCTTTGGAAGTAGTATTCATTCTCATGTCCTGGCCATTGTGTCCTTTAACTACTCACATCAGCTTAGCTCAGGGAGATGTTCATAGCCCATTTTATAGATGAGGAAATTGAGACTCAAAGTGGGAGCTTGACTTAATCAGGATTGCACAGCAAGTGAATGGTCAAAGGAGCCTTGAGCCGCCATCTGTCAGACACAGACCTAAGGAAATCTCTCCTACGCTGTGTTAGTCCTTTCTGCTCAGAGTCTCAGCTTCTCCATCTGCAGAGGGGCTGGTATAGATGATTTTTAAAGGCTGTTCTTAGTCTGAAAGGAGAAAAGGAAGAAGAAAGTTTTGGAGAAAGAAGAAACAAGGAGAGTGGGGAAGAGAAGAAACAAGGAGAGTGGGGAAGAGAAAGCCAGGGGGAGGGGACAGCGAGGGAAGGGGGCTAGAGATAGCTGTGTGCCCACAGGCTGTGTCTGTGCATTCTGGAAGGAACAGGGAAGAAGGGAAAGAGAACTCCCCAATCCCACTTCCTTTCTGCAACTGCCCAGCAGCCGAGCAAGTGAGGATGTTGGGAGTGGCTCTTTATGCTAGCCCAGCTCGGTGGCATCTCAGGATCCTTCTTGGCGGCTGATCTCCAGCCTCTGAGACTGCATCTCCCCAGCGTCTACAGAGAGAAGCTTGTGATGCCAATAATGAGTGGGGTGTGATGGAGAGAAGCTGGAGCTAAAGGGCCTTGGCTTTGGCCTTCATTCCTGTCCTCAACCCCCTTGTGCGGTGGGGCCTTTGGAAAGCACAGAGGTCCTGGCCTCTGTTCCCTTATTGACCTGGCTTGGGCCAATTAGATTACCCCTTCTTATAGCGTATGCTTCAGGACGCTCTTAGAATCTGGATAGGTCTGGGAATGCTGGGTGCAGTGGGCTTCTTGACTTTGAGACTTCAGAGCCTGTGCAGTAAGGAGGTAGCATACATTGAAGACTGGTTTCCATGAGGCATCTGCTTGAAAAAATCAGCATGAGATCCCCAGAATGCTGCGCAAACTTCGCGGTTCAGGTCTGACTGTCAGGAATGCCCCAGAGACACGTGGGCATTGCTTGGTGCTTCATCTGTTCAGTCATTCACGTCATATGTACCGTTTGACAAGGACAGCCAGTGACAGGCTTTGTGTTGGGAATCTTGGGGACACTGAGGGGCTGTCAGCCTGGAGGGGAACCCCTCCTGATTTTCTCCTTTCTGTCCGCCATGCCCAAGCCCTGCCCCAGCCTCTGACCTGGTCTTCGAGGTTGGCAGGAATGACCCTGCCCTCGCTGAGTCCCAGCCGTCATCACCCTTGAGACCTCGCTTCCACAGACCCGTGCTTCCTCAGGCTCCGACGGCCCCGTTTCATGATGAAACCCAATTTCCCTGTTTCTAAGACAAAAAAGGAGACTTGAAAAAGCTTGGAGCTAAAGTGTCTCTTACAAAACTTGTTGATTAATTAAGTATAAATGAATTAGAACCAGATGGGAAATGTTTCTCCTAAAGCATGCTCGGGTGTCCTGGTAGAGGGCAGGATGAGGGGACTTTGTTCTGGGCACCACACCCTAGGATCTGGAGGTTGGTTTAGGCAACGAGAAGAGACCAGACCATAACTGATTACCTAGATGTCCAAGCCCCGTGGGGAAGAGAGTTTGTCAGAGGCACGACCCTCACCTTTACATGATCTTTTTAGATCATTTTAGATATGAGGCAAGGGGCCCTGGTGGCACAATAGTTAAGCATTTAGCTGCCAAGTGATAGACTGCCTATTCGAACACATCCGTTGACTTTTTGGAAGAAAAAAGAAGACCTGGCAACTATTTGCATAAAAACTATAGCCGAAAATCCCTTATGTGCAGTGTTCTTGTCACTTGGGGTCATGATTAGGAAGCAATACTGTGGTACATATACAACAACAGATCTGAGGCAACAAGAAGTAGAAGGAGGAGGGATAGAGTTTAGTCTCAGGTTCGAATCCTGACCCTGTTCTGCCCTACGCATGTGAACTTGGGCAGTCAAGCCTCAGTTTATGATCCGTGAAATGTAATTGGATGAGTTGAGGGAAGATGAAAAGTCCCACAGCAGATGCCCCATAAAGATTCATCCCCTCGAATAAAACTCATAATCCTAAAAAAGGACAAGCCTTATTGATGAGACCTCTGGTGGCCTAGAGGTAGGAAACTGTGATGCAATCCTGAAGGCACGTGGTTCTAATCTGCCAGCTGCTCTGTGGGAGGATGGGCAGTATCCTCCTGTGAGATTAACTGCTTCTGAAAACCCACTGGAGGGTCAGCTGTGGGTCAGTTCTGACTCGATGACGCACAACAACAACAGGCTTATTGATATGATAGAGACTGGTGGAACCCTGAGACTATGGCCCTTGAATTCTGGATCCGGAATCACTCCATGACTTGATTTTCAGCCAAACACCTGATAGAAGGCCTGTGAGGTGATCAGCAACACCAGGGAAGGACACTCTCAGAATAGTCAAGCACACGAGACCAGAAGGGCAGAATTTGCCCAGGGATAAAGCTCAGTAGGAAAGAAGGATGAATGGAGACTCACAACACAGGGAGGGTGTGGGAAGAGTGCTGTTTACAGTGTGGAGATTATAATCTGTGTCAGGAAATATGTATATGAATAGAAAGCCAATTTGTTCTGTAAACTTCCGCTCGCTTCACAATAAAAATGTTAATTAAAAATTGTATCCCCTAAAAAAAAAATAAAAAAATTGTATCCCCTTTATCATGATTTCATGAAATGTTGTTCTTGTGGTATACTGTCGAGTCGGAACCGACCCATAGCTGACCCTGCAGCAGGTTTTCAGAGGCAGTTAATCACACTGGGAGAGACTGCCCATCTTTCTCCCGTGGAGCAGCTGGTAGATTGGAGCTGTGTGGCTTCGGGATTGCAGAACAGCTTCCTGCCAGTATATTTCATAACATGTTTAAGGACACTTTGGTGCCATAGTCCACAGAAAGTTGCTTTGTTAACCCAAAGGGTGCGCCTCTCTGGCAATTCAGATGGAGAGAAAGATGGACAACCTTCACTCGTGAAATTACAGCCTCGGAAATGCAACGGAAGTTCAGCTATGAGTCATTTCTGACTCCATAACAACGTATTGAGTCTTCTACTTTGTTGTGTGGTGCCTGAGGGTCTTGAAAGTTTACAGGCAGCCTAGCAAGGCACAGCAAGCGTGGATCTCTTCATCTGGTGCAAGCAAGGAGAAAGGACTGCCAGGAATGGGAGAGAGGCACATGGAATGTTGGCTAATTGCTCCATGAACAATTGTCTTCTTTGCCAAGAGATTAGAAGAACTAGGTGGTATCTG